TCATCCTTCTCTTCTCCCTTCCCTAGCACCCACCCGCCCCCTCCCTCCTTCCCCCTTCGTCCTCCTCTTCCCCTTCCCTCCCCCTCACTCCTTCTCCTCTCCCTTCCCTCCTTCCCTAGCACCCACCTCCCTCTCTCCTTCCCCCTTCGTCCTCCTCTTCCCCCTTCATCCTTCTCTTCCCCCTTCCCTAGCACCCACCCGCCTCCCTCCCTCCTTCCTTCCCTGTCTCTCCTAGTGTTTGGGGCCCTAGGGGAGCCAGCACCTGAGGGGAGGGGAGTCAGGGCTGGGAGGAGATATTGGAGTCCCAGGCCCTGGGAGGAAGCAGTGGATCCCCCATGATACCCCGGTGCCAGGCACATGCCCCTGCCCCAGATCTAACAGCTGCCCCTGGAGTCTGTGGGGACTGACCCCAGCCCAGTGACCAGGACAGCTGATCTTTGTCCGTTTGGCCCAGGGCAGCCACCCCCCAGCTTCTCCTCTGCACTAGGTTTCCCTTTCAGGAGCCCTTCTGCCTGCCCCCCGGGCTCACCCGCAGCCCCACCAGCCAGCCAGCACTGCACTCCCCACCCTCGGGCCACTCCCCTATGGGAGACTCCCCCATGGGACCCCCTGCCCTCCCGGCCCTGCGCTCCCACTCAGGGTCCCTTCCCCCGCAGTGTGTGATATTAACGTGCATGGCCGCTCTCCAGAGCTTGCTGTGCAATACCCTGCGTTTCAGTTTCCCTGGCAGGCAGCAGCCCCTCTGCTTGCCCGGCTGCCAGCAGCCCTGTTTGCTTTCGCAGCCGTCCCCGCCAGATAACAGGGGCCATTTACAGCGTCTCCAGTCTGCTTCCCATAGGGCCTTCCAGAACATTAAACAAGCTGTGCATTCCTGAAAGGCCTGCAGATAAGGAGGGTGGCAGAGGCCATTACAGGAGCAGGGGAGGTTCAGGGTGCAGCACTTCCTGCTCTGGCTGTTTGTCCAGTGTTACAAAATGTCCAGGATCGGCAAAATCTCCCCTCCGCTGGCTCGTACCCAGGCACCCCGTGATTGTCATCCTGGGGGCGGGGGAGTTGGAAACACCCAACCCCAGCATGTGCCCCACTACAGCAAATTAACCTTAGGAGCAATAATACTATCCATGGGCCTGGCTTTACAGTGACCTCTGTGCTGCACAGCGTTACTCCTGGGGGAATTCGGTGCCACTGCGCCTACACAGAATTTATGTCCCCCGCAGATTTCTTTGCTTCCCCACAGAAAAATGACTTTCTGATGGGGAAGCCATAAGAGCAGTCATGTGACCCTCCCCAGCAGTATGTTTCGGGTGCCCAGAGCAGCCAGCAGAGAGGTAAATCACTGTGGGGCAGAGGGCGGGACTAGGGAAGACCCGGCTGGTGGCTCCGACCCAGTGCCGGGCTCAGCTGCTAGTCCCGGCTGGGCTGGGGAGGACGGGACTTCCTCTTCCCCTGCGTGGCATCCAGGGCTGGGTCAGACCCACCTCCAGATTTCTCCCTCAGCTGAAGGAAGCTCTGCCAACTCCCCCTCCCCCTGCTTCCTATACCCATCAGTCCTCAACTGCAGGGCGAGGGATGCCTGTACAGAGAGCTGCTCCCCCAACCACTGTGCATCCAGACCCCCTCATACGCAGACCCTCCTATCGAGCCCCACTCCCCCTGCACCTGGACCACCCGGATGAGCCACCCGCACCTGGATCCCCATCCCACTGAGCTCCCCACACCCAGAACCCCTCCCCCCCGTGAGCTCCAACCACCTTCACCTGGACCCCCCTGCAGAGTCCTATTACCATTGCACCGCAAACCCCCCAACAAGCCACTGCACATCCAGATCCCTCCCACACCTGGATCCCCCACTGAGCTGCCAGGACCCAGATTGCCCCACACAGAACCCTCTCAACTCACACCTGGATCCCCCCCAAGCCCCTCCACACTTGGATCCTGCCTTGCTGAACCTGCCTGCCCACACCTGGTGCACCTGGCATGGAGGGGCAGGGCCCTGGGGTGTTTCTGGGGCAGGCCTGGTCCTTGTGCTGTGTCAGGGTTGGGTGCAGCCTCACTGCTGAGTCTGTGTCCCAGGGGGGAGCTGCACCATGATCTCTCACCTCTGTGCAGCCAGGGCCGGCTCCAGGCACCAGCGGAGGAAGCATGTGCCTGGGGCGGCACATGATAAGGGGCAGCATTCTGTCCATTCTTGGGGCGGCACAGTCTGAGCAGCTTTTTTTTTTTTTTTGCTTGGGGGGGCAAAAATGGTAGAGCCGGCCCTGTGTGCAGCCAGTGGCCTGTGCTCCCCAATGCCGTGCTGGAGCCTCCACATTTATTTGACAAAATTCGCAGAATTTTAAAAATATTGTGAGTACACTTAATTTTTTGGCGCAGAATTTTTAACTTTTTGGCGCAGAATTCCCTCAGGAGTAACAGCGTGGCCCTCTCACCTTCACCGCAGCAGTGGGGCTCAAACTCACATCCTCCTGTTCCAAATGCACAGGCCCCTTGAGCTAAGGGAGAATCTCTAGTGGCTAAATGCAGTATAGGGTTAATGCCACACAGAGCGTGTCCACCCTGCAACTGGGAGGCGTGACTGCAACATGTGTAAACATACCTGAGCTGGATCAGGTAGGTCTGCACATGCTGCAATCACACCTCCGACTGCCGTGTATTGAGACGCAAAGCTGCGCAGTTCTGGCTGCATCCAGTAGAAGATAGTGGTTACACGCACGCACACGATTATTATAGTGGCATCTAGAGGCCGCACCCAAAGCAAGGTCCCATTGTGCTAGGCACTGTACCCGCACAGGCACGAGTAAGAAACGCTCCCTGCTCCAACCAGGGTACGATACAGACGCAAGGCATGAGAAAGGGAGGATTATTCTTCCCATTTTACAGATGGGGAAACAGAGGCACAGAAAGACAAAGTGACTTGCCCAGGGTCAAACAGGGAGTCTGAAGGAGCCGGGGGTTGAACCTAAGCCTCCTGACTCCCCCTGCTGTGCCCAAGGCCACCCTTCCTCTCTATTATAATTTAACTTTACCCTTTACTGAAAACAGCAATTCTTTCCCCAAAGTACTTCCCACACTATACTGTTCACTCACCTGTTACCCTAGGACTGTGAAATGTGACGCTCGCGCATTCAGTGAGGGCTTCTGTTGACAGGGCGGGACAAGGCCCCCCAATTGAAATGTGACATATATATCCTAGGTCACTGAAAGGTCATCAGCTTACACAAAGGATATTAGCGGCACCTGTGGAATTGTCACCCTGAAGAGGAGGCCTCCAGTTGGGAGGAATTCGTTCTGTGTAGCGAACTGCAGCTGGGGGCATGGCCAAAGGTGAACTGTCTAAGGCGGTTTCTGATAGTTGCTTCTGCCCCAGTGGCTGGACTGTGCTCACCTAGAAGATGGAGAGGAAGACATGGATCATTTCACCCAGCCCTGGAATGCAGCCACCTCTGGAGGAGAACATGGCGGCTGTTTAACAGCACACAGCAGCGACGTAGTTTAGGACCAAAGAAAAGTATCCAGCTGCACGGCAGTGGTGGGGATCTAGCAAGATAGAAAGTAGTTGCCCAAGTTTGGCATGTGGCCAGGACACAGCGTGAGCACCCTGCCCCCCCTTGCAAAGGGCTCTTAATTACCGAAGTTGCACAAGGTCTTCATCTGAAGTCTCATCCGAACACACAGCTCCTGCATCAGCACCGCAGCCCTTGTGCAGCGCGCTCCCCACCTGGGTTTTCTCTGCGGGTCTCCCAGGCGCCCAGGAAGCAGGTCTGACTGTGAGCTCTCCAGGGGGCACAGCTAGAGGGGGCATAGAAAGACGATGGTAAAGGAGCGCGGACACGATGTGCGGGGCTGCGTGTGCAGTGCCTGCTAATTAGCACACGAGCTCCAGATTTATTTTGGTTAATGAAATCTTATTAACGAATCAGTGGCAGGGAGAGTCCCTGTGGGAGCCAGGCAGCTTGCAGGTGGTAATGCATTCTGCCGAGTCAGTGTAATGCTGGCCTATTAATAATTAACTAAGAAATAAACTACAAACAAGGCAAGTGAACTGGGGCTCGGCCCCTTGCTATCGTATTGCCGTAGCCTTTCACCTTGGGGCCAAATTCTGCGCTTGGTTGCGCTGCAGCGGCCTGGTTTTGTAGCAGAATTATCAGCCTGGCTTTGGTGAGCAGAGCTCAGAGCAAAGGGGCCAGCCCTGCGGCTCAGGGGACCTGCGTGCTATTTCCTGACCTACTGTGTGACCTTGGCCAAGTCTCCTCAACTCCCTGTCTTGTCCAGCTTGGTTTAGACTGACAGCTGTTTGGGGCAGGGACTGTCTCTTCCTGTGTGCGTACAGCGCCTGACACAATGGCGCCCTGCTCTCGGCTCCAGCCTCTAGGCTCTCCTGGAATAGAAACAGGACTGACCCGAGCGTGCTGCATGGTCACTGCACTACTGGGACTAGACCAGGGAGGCAGGTTTGAAGGGCACGAGCAGAGCTGCAACGGGGCTTTTTCAGCACTCTGTGTATTTCTCCTTCACTTTCACAACTCGCGCTCATCCCGAAATACAGAAATGTGCATCAATAACGCTGTGACCCAAACAAGCACAGGGCTTGAGTCAAGCCTGCCCTGAGACCGCAGAGAGCACAGCTAAGGGACTTCTACTACTGCTCAGGACATAAATAAAACCTCCATTTCCTCTCGGCTGACGGGGGTGGCTCAGGAGATACCCACTAACACACACGGAGGGAGGCAGTCCTTGTGCGGCCTGAAAACTCACAGCGGGGGTGCCGGGTGCTAGGTCTTAAGGTGACCGGGTTACCGGAGCCTCTGACGTACTGGCGCCCAAGCAATGGGGAAGTGAGCCCGAACTGTCAGCTTCTTGCTTTTGTGGTTTCAGTCGGCCTCCAGGATCTTTACATTGTCTGGCAGGTGGGTGGCTTGGTTCTAGCCAGCAAAAAGCTGAGTGTTGGTTATGTAAAGTGTGATTACAGACAGTCACTGTCGTGTGAAAGTGACACTCCAGGGTCTCACGCAGCAGCAACCAGATCCAACACTCGGCTGAAGGACACGTTTTCCCCCCTGACTTCTAATGCTGCAGGCCAGCTAAGCATCTTGCTTCCTGGAGCATCCTGGCGATGGGGTGGGAGCGGTGATTTCTGTAGAGGATGGAGACAGAACAGACTTTTGTTTGCTCTTCCTGCAGGGGCTGACGGGAGTGAGAAGTTGTGTGAGGCAAGCACAGCACTTAAAAACATCCCAAACCTGGAGGAATTTTTGGTTAGCTTGTAAGAGAAAGAAGCCCCCAGCTTTCTCTGCCCTCAGGTCTCTTATCTCAGGAGTGAGGCAGGGAGGGGAAAACATCAGCGAGCACCAAACCTCTCCCTGGTGTAAATCCAAGGGCTTAGGCCATATTGCACCAGGGATGAATTTGTCGCAGGCTCTTCAATCTGAGAAGCGTGACAGTAATCCCCCCATAGCAGAGCATCTGGCTTGCTTTTCCTTGCTCCTCTGTCAGCCATTGATTTATGGCCTTTTCCCCTACTCCCCCCCCCCCCCCAAAAATAATAATCCAGGAACAAAGGAAGAAATTGGATCTTCTTTGCCCAACCTCCTGCATTCCCCCCCACCGGAGGCCGTGTTTGTTTTGACATCAGTGTCCAGTTGGCGAGGGCCTTCGATCTCCGAAGGAATTCCTTTCTCCCCTCCGCTGCCCCGTGCTGCTCCGCTGACTCAGCAACACAAAAGGGCCTCTCAATTTTCGGCAGGAGGAGGTGGGTTTTTTTTGTCATTGTTGTTTTCTTTGGGCCTTCAAAAGGGCAGCTCCATGCCTGCCCCCAGAGGCTGCTGCGCACAGGAGAGCAGGATGAAAGGAGCGGTGGAGGAAGGAGTCCACCGCGTCCTTAGCACTGCCCTGAAAGTGAGGCGAACGTTTCGGCAACGCAAAATTTCCTGCAAGCGTCTCTCCGCCCTTTCCTCCACGGCCACCAGCTCCAGACCCAGAAATGCCATTTCCCCCCCATAAAATGGGCCATTTTCCTATCAGAATTCATAGATTCGTCCATTTTTAAAGTCATTCTGATCATCCAGGGCCTGTTTTACGAAAGTCTTTAGGCAGACAAGTACCTAAAGGGACCTACCAAAGCACCTAAATGAGTCAGGCACCTACGGCCTCTCGTCCGACCCCCTGCATAACACATAGGATTCCTCCTGCTCAGTGTCATCTCAAGAGCCTCGTCTTTTCATCAAATGTGGTTTTCTGTGCCAATTGATTTTCATCAAATAAGTTGGTATAGCCGAAACCATCACATTTCCTCCTCCAGACCATTTCCCATGGCCTCTCAGGCTTGCGTTCGCTCCTTCTTATTTACAACTCAAAAAGCACCATGAGTTTTTAACTGCCTCGTGGAGGGTTGAGGGGTGCGGGGGGAACCATGGAACTTTCAAACTGTCTCCTGCTTTCTACCTGCGGGAGTGCCTCCATTTAAGAAACTGCCTGGCTCACCTGCAGATTGCTGTATCTTACCGCTGGGTAGGGTAACCCCCCCAAAAGTGCCGTGTCCTGAAACATTCCCCCCACCCACACGAACAATCTTTGTGAGTTATTTGTGAATTTCCCAGTGGTTTCAAAGCTGCGGAGCTGGGTAGATAATAACACATCATCTTGGGTCTGACCCTGAATCTCCTGAAATAATTGCTTCTCTCTTTAGCAAGTGACATGGAAAGCCACAAAATAAACTGTATGGAACAGAAGTTGAGGGCGGGGAAATACTCCCTGGATGGAGTAGAGCCAGAGAACAATTCAATTCAACTCCGTACTTTAGTGGCATGGCAAATGCTGCCGCAGTGAACGAGAGAGAGGCAGATTTGCAGCTCACTGAGTTTGGATTTTCATTCCCTGATCTGGTGGCCAGCGGGCTATAGTATGATGCCACTATTGAGTTTACGTGGAAGATGCTTGGATACCATGGTGATGGGTGGCCGGAGAAAACCCTCAGTTAAATAGCCGGCTGCCCTCTCTACTGTCACGTCTCCTTTCTCCTAAAATCAGGCACACGTTTTTCCTCAGTGCTTTTTCATAACAAATCTTTGACCTTCCCTGAGCATTTGAGACAGTCTCCTCTCATTCCCTTGTATTTCAGACACCAGAGCAGAAAGTGGCTCTCTGTAGGGTGACCAGATGTCCCAATTTTATAAGGATGGTCCCAATATTTGGGGCTTTGTCTTATATAGGTGCTTATTACCCCCACCAGGGCTGGCTCCAGGCACCAGCTTACCAAGCAGGTGCTTGGGGCGGCCACTTCGGAGAGGGGCGGCACGTCCAGCTGTTCGGCGCAATTCGGCGGACGGTCCCTCACTCCTGCTCGGAGCGAAGGACCTCCCGCCGAATTGCCGCCGCAGATCGCGATCGCGGCTTTTTTTGTTTTGTTTGGCTGCTTGGGGCGGCCAAAACCCTGGAGCCGGCCCTGCCCCCCACCCCCCTGTCCCGATTTTTCACACTTGCTGTCTGGTCACCCTCAACCTCTCCTCTTAGCACACCGGGTGGCTTGCCAGTGCTCTGGGCTCAGGCTGCCCTTGCTGCCTCTGTAGGTCACCGATTCTGGATTTGGCAGGGGTGTCTGCCCTAGCTTTGTGCGGTATCTGCTAGTGGCATGACAGGTCTGTGCAGGGATCTGCAGTGGTCTAGCTTGTCGTTTGGGATTTGGTCTCCCCCCACCCTCCCATGACGTGACTTGGGGTGTTCCTAGGGCTGGCGTTGCTGAGAGCCCGGGAAACGACAGTACATAGGATGGGATTGTACTTTCATTTGGCTCTTTACGTTTGAGCCTCCAGTTCTTTGAGCTGCTTGCTGCTTTGGCTGAGAAGGCACCAGACTTTTAGGGCTCGGGTTTTCAATTCCCCTCCACCGTAGGCTGTCATTGAGACCGGGGCAACAGGCTACACGGGGAGGGGGATACAAACCACTGCTAGTGTAGGGAGGCCGAGTTTTGCACCCGTTTTGCCCTGGAGTAGATAACGACCCTTCCCGAGTGGTCTTTTCTAGGGACATGGAGGCAGCTCTTGCTTTCAGTCCCTGTTGGTGGAGTTCATAGATTCCAAGGGGACCACTGTGATCAGCCAGTCTGACCTCCCCCCTAGTCCCCCCACCCCCTTCCCGGTTTAGCACAGGGCAGAGAATGTCCCCAAAATAATTCCTGGAGCAGAGGAGAACGTCCAAGCTTGATTTAAACATGGCCAGGGATGGAGAATCCACTGTTCTAATGGTTCACGGGTACTATGGGGTATTTGTTTTGCTGAACTGCAAATGAAGGGTGGCTTGAGCTGTTTTTAGCCTGCCAGGTGTCATCAGCTGGTGAAGCTGGACCCCAGATTTCACTCCCGTCCAAGATGTTGTCCTGTCATATAGTTTTATCGGTAGTTTTACGGGAAGGTTGGGGGGGAGGTTTAGGACATTCTCCTGGCTGCTCCACTCCAAATAAATCTGTGCCCAGCTCTTCCCATCCTAACTGCGCCTTCGTTCACTGAAAGGAAAGGTTTGGCTGGGTCACCATGCTCTTTTTGGAATCCGTTTTCTTTCTGGTGCGTAGGGGGACGAGGCTGGGGGCGGCTGACCTGTCACACAGAGATGCTTTATGGTGGCTCCAAGAGCATTTGCAGCTGCTTCCTAACTGGCTCCAGTCTGGGGAGAGGCCCAGCTCCTTGCAGATGTGGGTCAGGGGGATGAAATTGCCCCTGTTAGCAGCACTGTGGATCCATTCTTCTGCCGGGAGCCAGGGATTTTCTCGCCCATTCTCCACTGTTCTGTGTGTCTGCAATCGCTCCCAAATGAAGATGCATGTGGGAAACTCCAGCAGTTTTGCTTCTCAGGGGCTGATGTGGTAGAAATATCATCCGTACTTTCCAGTTCTGATCGAAACCCCGAAATCAGACCTACATTCGCTGGGAGCTGGGCCCGGAGTCCCCAGCTCAGTTCATGTATCTTAACAAACCCCAG